CCCTACATTAGACTTGACCTCTACAAGGTCAGAGGTTATACCTGTTTTATTCATCACTATATACCTAGCACAGCACATTGCATAACACCCAATAGGTGCTCAGTATATTTGGGTGAAGGCATAGGTAAATGAATGAATGAATGATGATGATTATTAATGTCAAGTAACAATATCAGGTGTGGGGGTCACATGCATTTCTGGAAGCAAGTCGTTCTAGCTGATAAAGAGTTTCATGAATGAGCTGCACTGAGCTTTTAGAATCATTGGCACATTCACCTTCTCACTTACCCTTGCCTGAGGTCCACATCTCCTGTTGCCTGGACTTTAGGCATTTCACGTTTTTAAAAACATGACTGTGCCTGTGCCTGATTTTAATGCAACAGCTGTTTGCCCCTCTTCCCAGGGTGCAGATCTCCAAGGGGCATGTGAGGAACTCCTAACTCATAAATACCAGCTCTGCGCTTGCTTGATATGCCCAGAGCACCATCTTGCTCTGGGCTGCAGCATCTCCCATAGAGATGGTCTTCGTTTGCATTAATCATTTTCATGTGCTTTGCACTTGGCTATGCTGGCATTCAGAGAAAAATGCTGCCATGACAACTGCCACAACAGATGGTATTTGACCAGTTTCTAAGCTACCAAGGAGACATACAGCAGGACTTCCAAGGTTTGCATATTTTACATTATCATCAGACCCAGTCCAGCCCTAATCATGATTGAAATGCAAAGTTTTCCATTTGCCCTCCCTCCTCTGATTCTCTCTCCAGTTGTTTGGGATTTGTTTTGATGGGTGGGGATGTACTTCTGGATATGGAAGACAAAAGCTGTAACATCCATAACCCATGGAAGTTGCCCCTGCAAACTGAAATCCAGAGACTGCAGAGAAACTATTCAACGTTGTGATGGAGGTCCCAGCTGAGGCTGGAGAAAGGCCTGCACAGGGTGGAGCCCATGTTTGGCACCAAGTGTGTCCTGGTCTTCATCTGTCTCTTTCCCTTGACCTTTCCTACATCTCACATGACACCTTTCTGCTGCAGGGACCTCTAAGCCACATGGTGGTCCCTTGGCTGGGCTTCCCACCCCAGCTAATGCTGCAAACTCCAGCCACTTGATTGTAGAGCTCTTGAGCCCATTTCTATGGCAACAACTACCATAGCCTTCTCACCCAGTCCCCACCCGCTTCAGTGACACTGGAATGTTAGGCTTCACATAGATTTTTTTTTTTTTTTTAGCTAATTTTGGAAAGTGGTTTATATTGGCCACTATGTGTTAATGAACAACTTTGGCCATATTTACATACTTTTCTGGTTAGGAGTCTTTTCTGTCGCTCACCCTCTCAATTTTAACTGGATCCTCATCTCATGGTGGGTGTCTGGATCACACATGAGCCAGGAGCCTCCTTAGAGATGGCAGAAGAACATCTTTGTGCTGCAGTGGTCCTGCGGTGCTGCTGTTTGGGCTGTTCCCCTCTTGAGGTGGGGTGGGAGTTTGAAATTTCAATAGTACATGAAGATGGATTATTTACCTGTAGAGTATTTGGAAGAAAACTTTAAGGTGAATTTTAATCACAAGAGGGCCTGGATCAAAGCAAGTCTCCCTTTCTGATCTTTTTCCAAATGAAGCAGGAGGTTGGAATCCAGATCTGACCCCTTCCTGCTTCCCAGCCTTGCTCTCCTCCTGGGGTGCAGATGAAAAGAGTGCAGGTCTCTACTGCCTTGTCAGGAGTGATTTTTAACCTTAATGGAACATTATTAAAGAGTGGGTTTGAGACTTCAGGAATGTCTGTGAACAGAGTTCACGAAGGAAGGGAAAAAATTCAAGGCACTTGATAGGCTTGTGAATGATCCTTTAAATGATGATCTTCTTTTTAACTTTTTCTGGGAGTGCCATCCTGCCATGTATGTTGCTCCCTGGATTTCTTCACCCTTTTGGGTGAAAGTGCTCTTGGTGGTTTGGGGCCTCTTTCACCTAGTGAAGGAGGATCTTAACACTCCCCCTATTTATTTGTTCTGATTCCCCCTGGTCTGTATGGGAACCAGGATGGCCATGTCAAATGGCTCTGTGGACTATGTAAATGCAGGCTCCTGAGATGGGGAGGAGGACCTCCTGTGTTCCAGCCCCAGCTCTGCCGTTGATTTCTGTGACCTTACCTCATTTTATCCATTGTAGGATTCTTACAAAAACCAACACCATCAAAAGAATGGAGCTCAGGACCTGGCCCAGAGCAGACATCTGCACATTGGTGACTGAATGAATGAGTAAAGGGATTGTACAACTCAGAGTTTATTGACCTCAGTACTTTAACAGTGTGGATTAGAAGGTTTGTGGTTGCAGAGGGCTGTCCTGTGCATTGTAGGATATTTAGCATCATCCCTGGCCTCTACCCACCAGATTACTGAGTACCACCTCCTCCCCTTCATGGTGGTAGCCCAAAATGTTTCCAACAGAACCAACTCTCCCCTCTCCTTCACCATTTATCCCCCAGCTCCAATGGAGAAATACTTTGGAGGCTGGGGCAGGAGGATCATGAGTTCAAAGCCAACCTCAGCAATGGCTAGGCACTAAGCAACTCAGTGAGACCCTGTCTCTAAATAAAATACAAAATAGGACTGGGGATGTGGCTCAGTGATTGAGTGTCCTGAGTCCAATCCCTAGAACCAGAAAACAAACAAACAAACAAACCAAACCGTATCTAAATTATGAAATTCTACAGAAGGATAATGACTTTAAAAGCATCAACACCCCAGAAGAAGTATTCCAGGTAACCTACTTATAATTATTCATGCTTTTAATAGAATTTAACACTAAAAGAATTCCCAGCAGATGGCTGAAATGAAATGGATAAAAGCTAGGTTGCAGGAGGACACCACCATGTATACTGAATGCTCCTGAAATAAGCCAAGTAAATATATGTTCTCCTCCTTGGAAGGAAATTTCTTCTGCAGAGTAGTGCTTTTCTTGAATGTGTTGGTGTATGTCTATTTCTTGGGTGTCATATGCTGCATTATTGCTGAAAAACCATAACCCATGCACATTAACCCACAGGCATGACACTTTCTAAGATAAATATCAAGCATAACCACTTTTAATTTTTGCATGAACAGGGATTCAGGGATGGTCAGTTTTTTTTTTTCTTTTTCTCCATGGGGTCATAATTGTCAAAGCCTCTTTCATCAGGCATGTGTGAGGTAATAAAGGAGTAGTATAGGATTATAGGAAGAGACAGGAGCGGAAGATGAATTTCATAATTTTGTCATGACTTGGGGTCTCTTTGTGAGGCTACCAAACTCCCTTGAGTGCTTTTGGAATCTCACTACTGTGTACAACAGAGGAGACAAGGGATGAGAGTTAACATTTTCCTTTCTAGCTAATAATTTCTCTTAAAAGCAGAGTTTGATAATAGGATAAAATAGCAAAGATATTTTTATTACACTTACATATGGAAGCATTTTGCTCCAAAACATCATAGGGCACTGGTAGCCATTCTCCTCCTTCTTTTCCTCTTCCTCCAAGATGATAGTACTTGAACCTTACTGGGACTTACTGAAGAAAGATTAAAAGCAGTATCATTTTCCTCCTCCTTTATAAGGGCTGATTTTCTGCATAGTGGCAGGCATAACTTACAATATTGGCATTTGCTTTGTTTGCAAGAAATTGCATTCTTCTCCTTTTTCTAGAAATAAGAAATTGTCTGCCAGATGAGGACACTTCAAGGTGGGCTAGATGCTGGGAAAGAGATGAAAACCCGCGCCAAAGATGCACAGATACAGTAACTTCACGCTCAGAATAGAGTGGATTCTTATAGAAGGGGCACAGTTTTGCCCCATAGCTTCATTTAATGCATTTGAAAGATGTGAAGACTGGGGTAGAGGAGGAAAATGCCAACCTCAGTGGGAGAGTAGATGTGAACTTCAGGAGGACTCTCAGAGCCAGACTCCACTCAAATTAGGGCTCTTAAAATGCAGATGCTTTGCACTTTCTGTGGCTATGAGGGGCCTCAAGAATTTGCTTGAGGATGGGGAGGCAGCATGGAGACATGTACACTGTGAAAGACAATTGTTTATTAGCTCAAAATAAACTTCTCGGGTTAAATACTGGTTTGAGTGCATAAGAATGTCAATAGAGCCTGGGAAGGCGCGTGAGATGGAGCGATTGCTGAGGAGAGTGGAGTTCTTATAAGTGAGATGCAAATTATGTGAAATTCAAAGATCCCTGTGCAGGTCAAAAGCAATTTCTTTTATTTATGGTCATCAGTGACATTAATCAAGCCAGAACATTTTCCTTTAAACCAAAAAAATAATTCGCCCTGACAACTGAAGTCAGATCAAACCTTTGGGGATGACCTAATTGTTCTCTTGTGAGAGCTAGCTATCAGCTCGCCCTTGGCTGTGGCTTCAGTTCCAGCAAACCTGGGAGGCCTCCCAGACCCTGGCAGGGAGTCTCTTCTTGCTACAGAGAGCACAAAGGACAGAGAGGTTTGGGAGGCCATAACCCTCTCTGGTCATCGCAACGTCTGCCATCCTGAGAATTTTGTGAGTAAGCTCTACCCAGATTCCTGCTGAAACTCCTGTTCACCGTTTGTGCATCTGACTGTCTGCTGCTTGGGTGGCTGGAAATTTCTCCCAGCTGCTGGGAGATGGGTGGGCACACCAACCTCGTCCCCATCTCCATTTTTCCTGGCAGCTGTTCAAATTTTCAGGATTGCATTGGTGACACTGATCAAGATGAGAGCTCTCATTCCACCCTGGTTATTTTTGGCAGCTGTGAGCAATCCAAGGCCTTGAATTTTGGCACGGTGTGGTTGGGATATTAGGTAACCTTTCCCTGAGCAAGCACAGACAAAGAGGAGTCCTGTGCTGCATCCATCCGTCCATCCATCCATCCTTCCATCCATTGGCTGTTTTGACAGCATTCCATTTGCTCTTGGTTCCTAATGAGAGATGACTTGGGAGAAGGCTGAATATTAAATACAAATTGTTGTTTTCTTTCCCCCCTACCAGATTGAAAACATAGATGCCTGCTTGAATTTCCTGGCAGCTAAGGGGATAAACATCCAGGGGCTGTCTGCAGAAGGTGAGTGAGAGGGCTTTTCCTGCTGCTGCCTTTTTGCTGTCAGCACTGCCCACCTGCTTGGTACTTACTGGTGCTGTTACCATGGTGAAGGGATGTTGGTGGACTCCTCTGGTTTTGTTTCCTTGCCTAGCCTCAACCAACTTTAGGATAACCCAAAGAATCACTCTAAGAATGGCAGTCACATCTGCAGCCATACCAGCCATCTGGAAGCCACTGAGGGGGTGAGCTGCTCCTGTTGAAGAAGGACTGGCTTCAACAATGCTGAATCTGTCTGTCTGGTGGCTCAGTTAATTATCAAGTCAGGTCTTATCTGTGGGAGAGAAAAACACTTTAACCGCAGCACATGCTAAACTGTACAGCTCCCAGGGGAAAATGCTTAAGCCTTATCTTTTATTAGAGAAGCAGCACTTGTCCTTGCTCTTAAGGGGGGGGAAAAAAAGCATGAGATTTATTAATGCATTACTATATTTCTACATCCGGATTAGTTTTTAATTAACTTAAATTTGGTGGCTAATTAGCACGTTAGCATTTGCTAGCGTTTTACAGTTAAATTATGTATGGGTCTGGAGCTGACTGGTCGGAATCCTCAACCTCCTGAGGCAACACCTAACCTGGAATCATTCACTCTCTCTCCTGTTTGTAAATACAAGCAGCTGCCAGCTCAGACTCTGCCATAGGCCCCGTGTCCTCCCAAACTCATTAGGCTGCACCTGCCTCCAGCTTTCCCAGAACAGGTAAAGCATCTCAGATGGTACACCTTTTCCAAGCAAGGGTGCTTTTTGAAAAGAGGTGTGTGAGCATGGACCCCAGGGAGGGGCCAGGGTGAGGCAGAGGGGCAGGTAAGTTTGGAAATGTGATGGATTCTCTATGGGGTTCGTTCCTCAACTTTGCTCTGCTAGTTGGTGAAAGCTTGGTTTTTCTGGCTGTGTTCCTCAGCTGTAGTCTCTTCCAGCATTGGGGGTGGGTGGCATAAATAACTGATGTTAATGGCTTCTAGGTGTAACATGACTGTTCAAATAGTTTGGGAACTCTACTACACTGGACCTGTCCCCAGGCAGGCATGGTCATTCTGCTTTGAGAGGCCTGAGAAGCAACTGTAATGTGGTCAGTCTTAATCCCTGCTCTTACAGGAGGATCCCTGGAAGACTTCTCTGCCTTAGGGTGTGGGCCATCATCCATGTAGAATGCTCACTGCTGGGGCACAGGTGGTGGTGGTGGTGGCAGGGAGATGCAAATTCCCATTGAGAGAACACAGGATTTCCTCCTGGTGGGGAGTTCTTGGGCTGACCAGTAGGTGGCAGGACATGTTCCTCCTAGTTTCCAGAGAACAAATGGACCCCAGGTTCAGGTCAACGTCCCCCAAGTAGAGCACCACAGGGACTTTTCTAGAATTATGATTAGTATCAAGGCCTTGGGGGATGCAGATCCTGCAGGCCTGCTTTCTCCTGCCCCCAATTGCTCAGCACCTACCCATTGTCTTGCCCTCTGTCTCATTTGTTCCCCACATCTGCCCCATCCTCTCTGTACTCTAAAGCATAGAAACCTCTGCAATAAGTATTTGTTGAATAATGAATAATTGCCAACTGTGCTCCTAAGGGTTTATCTATGTTGACTTCTGTTCTCACAACTGAAGCTGGAGTTTATAAAACCCTTAGTTTACAGATACGAAACTTTGGCTTAAAGGATATGAGTGACACCCCTGAGGCATGTCACTAGAGAGTGGAAAAGGCAGGATTTGAACCCAGGCTATTGTGATTTCAGAGCTCATCTTTATGGCATTTTCTGGGATGACAGATGAATAAAATCTGCATGTGCCATATATAGGTGAAAGAAATTGGGTTTAGAGCTCTTTGTTCCCTGGAACGTGGTTTGAGAAGGTGTTGTGTGGCCCTCAGTGGCACAGTGTGCAAGGAGACATTCTGCCCTCTGCCCCTTTTTGATGTTCGGCTGACCTGTGGGACCTGAGCACAGGAGAACATATTGGAACAGTGTGTTGAGGTGATTGACTCTGGGATGTAACTACAAAGTGGTTTTACACTATTTCAATAACAGCCCCCAACTGTGTTGTATTGAACCCCCATCTTCCCTGCTGGGTCGAGACTCACTTAATGATATCTTGGCCAGAATCCATAACTGTTCAGTCATGTTCAGTTATTAGCATAGCTTTATGTCCATGTTTTTGACTCAGTCTCATTCCTTTTTAAATTTCTCTACTCAAAGCTCTTTTCCTCCCCCACACCCCCCAGCCTGCAGGAAGTCGAAGGGGAATAGGGCACGGTGGCAAGGCTTCCCTTCCTCTCTCCTATCCTGATTCCTGTGCCCAAGACTGCAGGGTTTGGGCAGTGGAGGAGGTAGGGTTGTGCGCTGGTGAAGTTGCCATCTTCCTCTTGGTCACCGTAATGGTCACCGTCCCAGGTGGGCTCAGCATGCCCTACTGATGGGACTCACTCCCATGCTGCTTTTAGGCCACTGGTAGTTCTTTGGTAAGGTTCAGCCAGCCCTCTCACCATGGTCTCACAAACCCCAGTGTCTGACATGGAACCAGCAGGAAAACATGCTCCATTTTCCAGGAGCAAGGGTGGAGCAGGACTCCTATCAACTGGAAGCAGTCCCCCAGCACACAAGTTCTTTCCCCCCTACTTAGGTGGCCCAGAGGCAGATTGGCTGAGTCTGCTAAGCAGATTTGCAACTTGAGACTGGAAGGCCAGGTTCCTTTTCTTATCAGCACCCCCACTTTGATTCTTTTGGGGCCTTCACCCCTCTGACTTCCACATGTTCCTTGGGGAGGGGAGGAGTTCTCCTGTCTCCATGATCATCAAGCATCATCCTCCAAAATGACATTCTGTTATTAGATCTTATATGGATTTCTTTGGAGGGGAGGTTAGGGAGCAATGATGGTATTTGGTGCTGAGGCTGAATCTGAACTATGAAAGTCTCCTTGACATTATAAAGAGAGAGGAAACTTAGAGCCCTTTGTCATCAAATAATTCACAATTTCAGGGTTCAGGGAATATCTCACCTGACCTCTTGTGGGATTATAGGATGGGATCAGTTTATTGAGAACATACCATGTGTCAGTCACTGAGCATTCATGTCTTATTTAATCCCCTGGCAACTCACTGAGGTCAGTGTTGCCATTATCCCCATTAAGCAGATTAGGAAACAAAGGCCCAAAGAGCTGGAGTTATACACGGGATGCTACATGCACCCATGGACAGTGGCTAAGCTGCCCTCCTTTGCTGATTCAGGGGCCTGCTGTCTCCAGCCACCTGCATATCTATTAGAAAAGCATTAGTGTTTAAAAGAATCATGTAGTTTTAATGTTTTTTTTTCCTTTTGAAGATGATTGAGTGCCCTGGGGTGCCTCCTCTGATGAAAAACAAACACATGGTGGTTGGAAAGCCCCATAGGTACATCTCCACCCTTTCCCAGTGACTGCAGCTGCTTCACAACCAGGAAGGTGTGTGCACCTGTCCTTGCAGGTTGCAGCACAGGCCTGCCCCAACCTGCACGTTAGAGAGCCACAGAGAGCCTTTGTTCCCGGGCTCAAACAGCGGGTGCCTGGGGGCAGCAATTGCAGCCACCCAGCCCTGGAGGTGCTGCTGGTGTGAGCCTTCCCTGGCCCAGACCTCCTGCCCCCTCAGTGTTCCTGCAGCTTGAAGCTCAGACACATCTCTGTGCTCTTAGAGCCTTGCCAGGGTCCTGTGGGCTTAGACCTCTCCTTCCCTGAGGTGATGTTCAAGATCCACCCTCTAATCCTTCCTGACAGGAACTCCACCTGTCACAGCTGTCTGTCAACCTGCCCCTGGGAGGGAGAATGGCCCTCATCTTTGGCCATTTTTGAGATCACCTGGGCTTTGTACTACTTGACCCTGAATCCCCAACCTCCTTCAGTGGAGAAGCAGAGGTCCAGGGTAAGGCACATTCTTTTGTATTTTCTGGGTGCATCCTATATACCAGGCACAGTGTTAGGTACTGAGGGTCACTGATAAGTCAATTGTATGAAACTACCCTTGATCCCAGTTAGTAAGAGAGCTCTGCTACCTACAGGATTCACTGGTGGCCAAGAAAAGGCAGGTCAGCTGCACCTGGGGCAGCCAGGGGGCTTCACAAAAGGGGTGATATTTTCCTGGGTGTTCTGGAATGAGAGCTCATTTGCCAGGCAGAAAAAGTGAGGTGAAGGGAAGCCTAGTCAGCAGATGGGACATGGAGGCAAAGGGCTGGTTCTTTATCAAACTAGCAGATTGTAGAAATGGAGGCAGGAAGAGCCATGCAGGTGACTCTGGAGGAGCGTGTGCTTTTGAAGGGAAATCTGTCACTGACTCGATCAGCTCTCTCCTGATGGCCAGAGACCTAGAGACTGAGCTTGCTCCTCCTTTCATCCTGAGCCAGACGGTAGGGGCATTCACTGGACCTATTGGGTAAAGACAGCCGGTGGAATGTTTCCATTTCTCCTGCCCACCTCAACTGAGTGGGCACACAGTGGACTATTTTTGTTCCTCTGTCCCAGTGGCCACAGAGGCTCTGCCCCCACCTTCTCATCCCTCCTCCCCTGTGACGAGCACAGTTGGCAGGCTTGTGGGCAGGACCCAAAGGGCCACAGGAGTGGGTGGAAAGGGAGGTGGCCCATGTCAGTTATGTAGCCCATCCATCTTCAGGAACAGACCATAGGAACCACAGTCCCCTGTTAGTCAGGGAGCCTCACACAACTGTAGCAGTGGGGAATCAAATAGGAGTTCTGCACCCCTGTGATCTGCTGCAGAGCAGCCCGACATTTGGCTTCAAAACATTCTACTCGCTAGAGCAGGTTTCTTTGTATTGGATTATTCCATTACTTTGGAAACCAGGCCTGAGGTTTTTCTTAAAAAATGTTGAAAGACAATAACGTCTCTGTTTCACTTCCCATCATGCCCGATGTTACCTACAGCATCTCCGCAGATTAGGACCAGCCAGTGGGGACAAAGAGATCAGCCAGAAACCAAACAACTTAGGCACCAGGCGATGGAACATTCTAACAGAATGGGACTGTGACCTGTGCAGTTTGTCCCAGTTTGCATGAAAGTGGCTGCAGGAAGAGGAAGAACAGGATTCCAGTGTTCAGTTAGCTAGGGTCCCCTTGGACAAGTCATCGATAGCCTAACAACTTAGGTCTGTGTATATTCCTTCTAGAAGGAAGGAAGTCTAGAAGGTGAGCAGGTGTGTGGATCAGACACTAAATGATAGTCCTTTTCCCACACCTTGGGAAGGGCCATGAGGGAAACATTCTTGTGGGCTTGCAGATTTTGTTTTTAGACTTCTCTATGGAGCTGGCTCACCAGGCCTCGTGGAACACAGACAAATACCTTGGAAATGTGGAAGGAACACGGTTCTAGCTATTTTGGATACTGTCTGTTGTAGACCACCCATGGTTTAGACTCTGGACTTTTAGAGCATCCACCACTCTTGATTTTTTTTTTTTTGTGATCTAAAAAAAATAAGAAGAAACAATCCAAATGTCCATCATCAGTGAGATAAGTAAACAAAATATGGCGTATCCATATGATGAGATGCGTCTCGGCAATATAAAGAAACTGATAAATTCTCTAACATAGTCCAACCTTTAAAACATGATGTGAAGTGAAAGAAGCCAGATGCAAAAAAACTGCATATTACATGATGCCATTTACATAAAATATCCAAAAAAAGACAAATTTGTAGAATCAGAAAGTGTATTTGTGGATGCCTAGAAGTGGGTTTGGGAATCAATTGCAATTGAGTATAAGGAATCTTTCTGGGTGATAGAAATATCCTAAAACTAAATTTATTAAATGTAAGTAAATTTATTAAATTTACTTAAAAAAACACTGAATTTGAACACCTAACTTTATTGATAGAAATTATATAATACCTTCATAAAGCTGTTTTAAATATCAGAAAGAAAGTCACCATTGCATTTTCTCTAATATGAGATTATTCATAACTGATTTCCTTCCAGATACCAGTGACTGGCCTAGGGGGAGAAGGGAGCGATCCTCTTCTTGGGCTTTGTTTGGGTAGAGAGCCCTGAATGGGTTTCTGAGGAAGCTGCAGGTAGGGGGGGGCATATTTTCTGAGCCAAAATGTGAATTTGAGTCAGGCAAGGTCCCAAGTGCTTTGCACTCATTTTTCTCCTTCCACCTTCACTTAGTTCTCCTAAGAGCCCCATAGGAAGGTGCGATGCGACATACGCTTATTTTACAGGAGAGGAAAACTGAATCCCAGAGAAGCTGAATCTTGCAACAAATCAAAGTCTGCAAATGGACTATAGAGATTTGACCCCAGAGTTTTCTGGCTCCAAGAAAATCACTTCTCTTTGTGATAGTGCTATCCCCTAAGAAAAAGAGGATTTGCCAGAGGAAAATTATACTTTTTGGCAGCTAAACATGCTTTAAGGAACAATGGTACAAACCGGTATGAGCAGTGAATGGTTTGATGACCACAGTAGCTAGAGACAGAGATAGCACTGGCTCCATCTTCTGCAGTAGGATTGGCTGGTGGGTTATGGGGGTGCTGACAGGGATGTACTGACTTTTCACAGTGGGCAGCCCTGAGCCCATGGATATGCTGAATTGTTAAGTCCCTCTCCTCTTTGTTTTCTTCCATAGTTTCAAAAAATATGTTCAGAGGGGCTGGGGTTGTGGCTCAGCAGTAGAGCATCTGTCTAGCACGTCTGAGGCACTGGATTTGACCCTTAGCACCACATAAAAATAAATAAATAAATTTCCAACAACATATAAAATATGTTCTGGGATGTTTGACACACCAGAAGAATAAAGAATACTTATATGCCTAAGAGCTAGCTTAATAAATAGAACATTATCTGGTCTCCTTTTAAATTCATCACACAGACTGGGTATACATGTAAGCCAAGTTAGACCATGTCAGGATACCAGACTTGGAGCTGGAAATACCTGGATTTAGGTCCCAGCTCCAGGATTTATTACCTTGGAAAGGTCATAAAACCTTTCTGAACTTCTACTTCCCTGTAAACAAAATAAGGGGAGCACGACCTAGTTCTCAGGTGGCCAGGATTAAGAGAGATGGTGCATGGGAAGAGCTCAGCCTGGCACATTCTTACTAGTAATGGTGCTTGGTATAAACCACACAGCAACCTGATCACTGTAAAAGGCAACCCAGGCTGCCTCTCTCCCCATGATTAGCATTATGTTCTGCCTCCAGTGATTTCAGTTTTGAGAGAAAATTGTCTGTTTCCCCAAGTTTCTTCCTAGTTGCAAAACTGCAGGCCAGAACATTGTTGGCTTATTTCAACTTTTCCCCTCACTCCTGTCACTGTCCACCCAGGTGGCTACAGGTGTGTGACTTCTTCATGTGAGTCTCCATCAAACCTGGAGCTGTATGATAATCTTATTCAGGATTCCGGGGCTTTTGTTTACATAAGATAACTAAGAGCAGTGAAGGCCTTCACTATAAATGGTGCACTTTCACACATATATTCTCATTTGATATGCAAAACAACCTTGTATGGTGGCCTGGGTGGTGTTGATGTTGTCATTTTCCTGAGACCCAGAGATATTAAGTGACTTGCCTCAGGTGGCACAGCAAGAGATTGATAGAGTGCAGATTGGAACTCATGGCTTAGGTTTTCTGACTGTTGTATTCCTGTCGGCTCTGTTCAGTGATCAGAACCTGCTGGCTCCCAACGTACTGTGTGAAGGCTGGATTCCAGAGGTGGGTCCTGTCAGTTTCTCCAGTGCCTGGAGAAAAGGATACTCCAGCAGAAAGTAGTTAGTTCCGGCCAAACAGCAGATCACACCAGGACTGATGCCCTGACAGGCTGCTCTTCCTCCTGTGCAGGGGACAGGGCTTGTTCGGAAGGGACTCCATTCACATCTCTGCATCTCCACTGGCCCTGGAGGAAGCACTGTTTCTTCATGAGTAGCCTTTCCCCAGCTCAGTGCTAAGCAGGGTGTGCACCCCCCACCTCTCTAGCAAGGCCCCAGAGCTTCCTTGGTGCGTGTCCTTCTTTGCCCCTTGCCCTTTTGAGAAGAAATCCAGTCCAGGGCTGCAGCGAAGCAGAGGGGTCCGGGTTTGTTTCCCCCACAAGTCTCCTCCTGTCCCTTCTTGTGGGTGGCCCTGGTACCTACTCCTCAGGATCAGTTTAGCTTCTTGCTTTCAGCATTTGGTGTTAAAATACTGCATAAAAGGAGGAAGGGCTCATGGAGAAACCCTGGCGATCCATAACCTCTGCCTGCGAATAAATGTTTTATTCTTCTCCACAACTCTTTATGCATGCCTTGAGGCAAAGGCATCTTAACATCCTAAAAATTACTGTCTGGAATAACAGAAGTAGGCTTCCCACTCTGCTCTAATTTATTTTAATATGATATTTTGTATGAGTTCCTCATGGAAGCCAGTCCTTATAGTCTGTCCCTACACCCATCCCAAATTACAGTTATTTATCCAATGGACAGGAGAGGCAGAGCCGTGTATCTGAAAGAAGGGTGAGTGGGTAAAGCAGAGTGAGGATTTGGGAGTGGGATGGTGGCCACTTGGCACGCGTGGTGTGGCTCGAGGCTTGGAACATGAACTTGGCAGAGCAGGCCAGACCAGTGCGTCTCTCAGAGTGCCAGAGAGTGCCTCTGTCCAGGATCGGCCGCTTTGCCTGCAGAACAAGCACAGTCTTGCTGGGGAAGCCTGCTTTTCAGTGGTGTCCTTACTGAGAATTTCCTCTTGGCACTAGCCAGACATCCAGTCTCGACTTGCCTGGTGTATCCACTCTAATCCCAGAGGGGAGAATAAGCTAATTTCTTTGTGGTTTTGGCCTGCGTTTAATTGACTGTGATCCCAATTAAGTGTTCAGGAAGTCTGTCATATCCTCTAGGAATTAAACTCCTGTGAGGGCTGAAGCAGCCCATTGAGTGGGAAAAAGAAAGGACTCCAACAGCTGACAAGAGTCTCTTTATTGTCTTGCAGAAATCAGGAATGGGAACCTCAAGGCCATTCTAGGCCTCTTCTTCAGCCTCTCTCGCTACAAGCAACAACAGCAGCAGCCCCAGAAGCAGCACCTCTCCTCCCCTCTGCCGCCTGCTGGGTCTCAGGTGGCAGGGGGCCCCTCCCAGTGCCAGGCTGGCACTCCTCAGCAACAGGTGCCAGCCACTCCCCAAGCCCCGTGCCAGCCTCACCAGCCAGCGCCACATCAGCCCTCAAAAGCACAAGCCGAAATGCAGTCCAGGTGGGGCTCCTTCCTTGCCGGCCGAAATGCCTGTTTTTCGGGTGTTCTTTGCACCCTAAATTATAATTTGTATCATCTATGGTTTTCATTGAAACTTCTTCAATGTTAAGTGCTACTGGTAGTTAGGAATTCACATGACCTTGGAAGTGGATGCAAGGGGCCTCTTCCTGTGCCTGGCAGAGATGTGTACTTTTATAGGTCAGCATTGCCAGCAGCCAGCACTAATTAGCTGCTCCTGCCATGACTCAGGCCCATTACACACATGCTCATATGTTATAAATAGCCCCTAAAATAGACTTCAAACCCCTTCTGGGTGTTGGCCTACAAGATGAATGCTCAAAGTTGGAGTAATTTATTGAACAGATGAGAGAGACACAGCCATGCTTTTGAAAGGAGGATGACTGGGTAAAGCAGAGTAAGGATTTTGGAGTGGGACAGCTAAGTCATTTTACTTGGTGGAGGTAAAAGTTCTGTTATAACAGATGCCTCCACTTTTCCAGAGCAGAGAGAGAAAAAACATGCCAAAGAAAGGTGGCAAGTGTTAGCCCGGGAGTAGCCATCCACCTTCCCTAAGTGGAGCGTTGTCCCCCATTGGTAGTAACCATGAATGTGACTGGGTTGTCTTGAACTTACATGGTGGGAGCTGTATTATGTTGAACTTGGGGAAAAATCATATTGCACAGGATTGATCCCTGAAGGATTAGTGCCTGGACCTTGCCAACCTTCCCAGAGGGACTGATGCTTGCCACTCATACTCACCACAGAGCAGCGCACAGGAGGCATGCCTCTGTAGTGACTGTCTACTACAATGAGAATAGTTGCATTCCTAAACAACTCTGCAGAAGATCGCCATGCAAATCATTTTTTTACCCTGGTACTAGAAATTGAACCCAAGGGTACTTTACCGTGGAGCTACATCCCCAGCCCTTTTAATTTTTTTATTTTGAATTGGCCTTGCTAAGTTGCTGAGCCTAGTCCCAAATTTTAGATCCTTCTGCCTTGGCCTTCCCAGTAGCTGGGATTACAAGTGTACACCACTGCTCCCAGCTAATCATTTGTTTTAATGGCAGAATAAAAGTAGAGGGTTAGGAACTAGAAAGTTCTTGGCTTATGATAAAGTTCTGCGGAAAAGCTCATGATAATTGTTTTCTTTTCTGTCAGTCTTTAGCTTTAAAACCTGATGTCACTGATCAAAGTGATTGCTTGATTTTATCTAATGTGTGCTACAAAGTAATGCCTTTTCTTTCCAGTGTCCCAGAATCCAGCATTGATACTCATAAGGCTTCTCAAACACCTTGATACCCTTTGTCACCTGTGGTAGTTGGGCAAAACCCAAAGCTGCTCAAGTCTGGCAGCTGCCTTATGGATAGTTGCAGCTTTTTTCTCACGAAAAGTGTGATTTCCCACTTGTGAGGCTGTTCAAACCAGCAGTGATGGGTGTAATGTGAATCAGGCCCCCTAAATAATTATCTAATTATATCCATTATGGAAATTTGTGGGATAGGAGAGATGCCTGGAATAGCAATGAGGAACAGACAGCCATGCAGCCAGGCACTGCCCACTTTCCCTGGAGACCTGCCCGCATAGAAGCCCTTCCCTGGGCAGAGGTTCCTTGGCATTGGATGACTTAAAAGATCAGGGCATCATTTCCCAAACTGCATTCTGTAGAGTTTATTTACTTCCTAGGGTGTTCACTTGAGTTGTATTATGAGGGAAGGATTCTGGAGGGGTAGAAATGGGGAGATAACCTGGGTTAGGGTGTTACAACTGTTATTGCAAGTCTGCTCAGATCCTTGAAACTGCCAATGTGCATTCTTGTATTTAGTTACTGCAAAGCCTTCTATGTGCCCAGCACTGTTCTAGGCACATGGGAGTCAGGATGAGTGAGACAGGCAAGGCACCTGCTCCCTGCATGCTACCAAAGGAGGCTGAAAAAACGGGCAAATTAATGGAGGAAAATGTCAGGCAATGGTGAGTGATGGGATTTGGAGGTGCTGGGTCACTCATTTAGGTTAAGTTGATGGGAGGGTCTCCCTGAGGAACCTGAAAGCAAAGAGGGCCACTACCATGTCCAGGGAAGATAGTTGTGGCACTGAGGACAGGTCACAAAGTGCTTGCTGTCAAATATGGGTTTTGAGTTTGGACTTTAAGGATAACAGGAAGACATGGGGGTGGTCTTAAGTATGAGAAATACTTGATTGGATTTACAGTTTTTTTTAAAAAAAATCACCATTGCTTCTCTTTGGAGACTATAATGGTAGATGGGCTAGAATGGAAGAAAGGATTCCAATTAAGAAGCTTCTGCAGTCCTGGAGAGGATAGTGGCTAAGATAAAGCTGGTGGGACAGGTGTGGAGATAGACGCATGCAGGATATTTTGGAGTTTGAGCCTAGAGGCCTGGAAACAGATTCTTTCTCTGGAGTGAGAGAAAGAGAGGAATCCCGGGTGAAGCCTAGATTTCTGACTCAAGCAATTAGCTAAGTGATGGTATTATTTATTGAGATGAGGAAGGCTGGGAGAGGAGCAGGTGTGCATTGTAAACCTGCAGAAGGCGAGGTGGAAAGAAGCATCTATTTTTATAAAGCATCTCACTGTATAGGGTTCCAAGGAACATGTGTTCAGACACACAGTTTTGGGTCACTGAGCCATGCTACCCTGAAGCATCCGTTTCCATGGTAGGTGTTTGTTTTCTTACTAGAACCAGATGTTCTAGTCAGCATCCATCTCCCTGTAAGAAAAAAAAAAAAAAGTCTTGGTACTAAATGCTTTGTCTAAAGACAAGCCAAACTCACTTAAGCCAGGTTTGTGCATTCATTTTTAAAAAAATATTTTGGTTTTAGTTGTAGTTGGACACAATACCTTTATTTTATTTATTTATTTATTTTTATGTGGTGCTGAGGATTGAACCCAGCACCTTGCACATGCTAGGCGAGCGCTCTACTGCTGAGCCACAACCCCAGACCCTGTGCATTCATTTATTCTAGCTGCACAGTGTTTCCTGCCAATCTGACTTTCTGATGCTACAGAATGGTGACTTTAGAGTGGGGCTCCACAGTAGCTGTATATCATCATTTACACCTTTATCTTGTCCAGTTTGGGTTGTGTCTGCAGATGGTTGGTTTTGTCCATTTTGTATGGATAATTTCTACTGCTCCTTCCACAGGATAATCTTGTTCTCAAGGTCTAGTGATGTGAGATCCCATGCTAACACTCTAGCTATAAGTTTAAGAATGATGTGATCCATCTCTGGCTCAGTGCCATTGTATGGCTAGCCCCAGATTCTAGCTTTGATAACCCAGGCCCAATGGAAATGACCGAACCCTTGATCACTGGTGTCCGATGTTGATGGGAGTCCCAGACGCCGGGTTTGTTTGGGCCTCCTGTTAGAACCCTGCCTCGGCACCATTTTGAAGCCATGTAAGTCCAGCACTTCTTGGGGGGTGGTGAGCATTACAACTTGGCAGCTTTCCATGAAGTTGGCTAATGAAGGGGTTGTGGAGGGTTGCAAAGGAAGTCCAGGAAATTGGCAGGAAGGTTTCAGAGCCCTCCTCTGTGGCACCCTTGTGGAGACTCACTCTGCCTCTTCCCCTCAGCAACTCTCACAATTTACATGGTGGCTGAGAACTTGAACCACATATCACCCCATGAAGTTCCTCACCCATCTAGTGTCTAGAACAGTCTCCAAGACTCACACGTCTATCTGTGTCTACCTTACCGGTGATCAATATTCAGTTATTTAGGAAAAAACCTAGAAAAGTACTTTTTTTTTCCTCTCCATTCTTTTCTCTCTCTTCATTTTGTAAGAACACTGAAACCAACACTGTATTTCTCACTTCAGATCCTTTTATGATCATGGTACAAGATACATGAATATAAGAAAGAGAAACACTTTTATGATTCAGAAGGCAGTAAATAACTTCAAATTGTTCTTCTATTAAGCCTAACCAAGATTCTTCATATGTACAAATTTATGGTCCAAAAAAAGGCCACCAGAATTCAAAATTTCAACAGGCTTTAAGCGGTCATTTTTATAGCAGTAAAAGCAAATATTTCTAAGACCAGCAAAATTTACAGCACCTATACCTTTGTTTGGGATCGACTTTGTGGACTGTTGAGGTTATGTACCTGAGAAGTACCTCAGTTGAACACGCCTATGAAATAGATACATCTCAATGTTTCAGAAAAGTATAAAGTAATATTTTACCTAAGCATCTTTATTTTATGCCTTGTAAATACTTTATACTTTAAACATCTTGTAATTTTAGAAAGGTATGAAGAAAACCTGTGGTGACTGGAAGCAGGAAAGATATTGGTATTTAAGGGGGGAAGCATAAAAGTTCTTAAATAGTTTTGATTGCACTTTCTTCATATTGGAAATATATTGTATCAGTGAAGCTGGACGTAGAAGGAAAAAAGTGTGTGGAGGGGAAAAAGCCTCCTTGTGCTAGGCTCTTAAGGTTTGTGTGTCTAATGTATCTTTTCTCTCCTCACTCATCTGTTCCACTCTTTTCTTCCCTATCATGCAGTGCCTCATCCAAGGACTCATCTCAGAGCAAAATCATCCGCTTCACTCTGGGTCAGAAAAAGATCTCTAGGTTAGACTTTCTCTGTGTCCTGCAAAGCATGGTTTAAACCCAATCCACTGTTCCTTTGTTCCTTCTGTGCTGGCTGACTTTCCTTTTGATTCCTCTCCCTGTTTCGTGTTTGCAGTTCCAGAAAACCAAACATGCTTTGGCTAATGATCCAGTGGTGGCAAGTTTGGAAAGTGACTGTGGGATTGTTTGTGTGTATGTGTGTGAGTGTGTGTGTGTGTGTGTGTGTGTGAGTGACAGCATGGGAGTTAGTTGGAGGTGTACATGCTGCTCATTTGATCTTTGCCTTTGACTGCTTGGTCACCAGAGTCCATTCAGATTTAGAGAGAGGTGAGTTTCTAGGTAGTTTTTGTGACAATTTAATGACGAATTTCTTTCTTGCTTTGTCCTGGCGCTAATCTGTCCTCACCTGCATCTCATTCATGTGTGCTGTGCTTTTTGTTGTTTTTGCTGCTAAAAATTACTAGTGTGGGATTTGTTTTCTCTTGAGTTATAAAGATCTGAAGCATGAATAGAAAACAGCAGGGCATCTCTGTCTTGTCTTTGTTTTGGGATGCCCTGGCTTACCAGGGAGCAAAATAGGTTTGCTCACTAACTAATTCTCTCAGATTCAGACTTTGACCTCCCTCCCTGCTGCATCCTATCCTGAATCCTAGGATGCTTTCTGGGGTATGGGAAAAGCCAGTTACATTGTTATATCTACTGTTATTTTAATTCACCAGTTGGAATGCATTATCTTATTTAATCCTCACATCAGTCTTCATGAGGTAGCTCATGTCATTGTCTCTGTTTTACAGATGACGAAAACTAAAATTTAGAATGTTGGGTAATATGCCAAAAGTCACACAGAAAGTGGAAGAATGAGGATTAGAACCTGATGGCTTCACCCCAGAACCCTCAGTTGAACCCCTGTGCTATACCACTCCCTCCTTCATTCTCTTATATTCTGGTGTTTTGTGTGGTTGTGGAAACTGATAAACTGCTACTCTTGGTTTTTTTCTTCACATTGCTCCTGTAGCATCCAAACAAAAATCACTGCTGGTTTGGATTCTCCTCCAGTGCTATGACTAGTGTCTGTGTTGACTTCTCACTGAACTCTCATTTAAAAGTAAAGGGAGAGCTACCCTTTGTAGCTGTCTTCATTCATTCATGTTCAAATCCATATTGAGCTAACTGCCCCCACTTTGCCAGCTCCAGGTGCCTCTTCTAACCAGAGTTTTCTTTTCTGAAAAGCTTCCCTGTGGGGAGACCCAATCCAGGATCTGCCTGGCTAGTGAGGGAGAAACCATGTGGTTACAGGACATCAGCCTGTTACCCACACTTGGTTCCTGGGGCAGGAGGGAACCTGTTTGTGACTGCTTTCCCTACTGATTAGCAGGAGGCTTCAGTGCAGACACCACTGCTCTGGCAGGCTGTTCCCAGTTAATTCGAGAGTCATGCAAATGCACATGCATATGAAAGGAGAGGGGAGGGGCGGGCTTGGAGGAAACCTGAAATCTAGTGTCTGTTCCCACGATGTGCTCAGCTCTGAAAGATAAAGGAAACAGGAGCTAGCTGGGAAGATATCTAATTGGAAGCACATGCCCAGCCCATGCATGGTTTGTTATCTCTCCCAGATAATGGAAGGAGGCAGTGGGAAGAAAGGAAGAGCTGGAAGATGCAGGGATGTTCATGCCTTCCCCACCCCAGATTCACATGGTCTGGTCTGGCTTCTCTTTAAGGTCACATTACTCACCTAGAATTTCTTTTGGGTGTAATAAGGCCAATAAAGGGATGTTCTTTGTTTTATTATTTGCCTAAAATCTCTAGCCCTGCCTTTTACCACTTTCTCAACCCCAGCGTCCAGTAGGATCCAGATGAGAATTTTAGCTGATTACACACCACTAAGTATAGCATTAGTTTGGTTGCCAAGAAGCTGCTCTGCCCCTTCTGGCTGAACAGGCCACCTTCTTCAGAGTCCTGGAAATAGGTCTCTTGTTGGAGTGCAAACACTGAACACCTGCCAGAGCCAAACACCTGGACAGGAACCAGCAACATTGACCCCAGTGTGGAGTCTCCCCCTTGAATTTGGCTGTGGGAAAGGGGCCCATGCAGGGAATTGGTGCAGGCTAATGGACCTCATGGATTTCAGCCTTTGATCATATTGTTTTACTGGTATCCCTGGTGAGCCACAGCTATGTAGGCTTATTCTGCCTTTGAGAGACAGAAAATCACAGTGGCTAGGAGATATAGTCATCACGATTGGCTGGACAAATTATTCAGCCTCTGTCAGCCTGTGTTTCCTTATTGGTAAGATGGAGTAGTTCCTGATTCTCTCAATGTCATGAGAGTTAAATAAAATCATTCCAATCCCATTATACCTGGCAAATAATCAGTGTACCACAAATGGCAGATACATGATAATGTTAGCTTTTAGGGTTTATCTGGGCCAGGTAAAGCAACCAGAGCACGTCTAGCCAAGTCTCACAGCGTCGATCCCTACACAACTGTCTCATGGAACAGAATCTGTGGAGTTAGTAGTCAGTCCTCTCTGCTTAGCTGTGGAAAAGCAGATGCTGTGGAAATGAGAGATTTAGCATTTAATCATCTTGTCTGGCAAAAAGCATCTCTGATTATGAACACCCACCCCCCAGCATGTGCACACAAGCTGCCATCCTTCCTGGGAAGGGCGCCCCTGTGTTCCCAGCCTTTGAAGTGGTTTGGGGGAGAACTGCTTTCTTCTCAACAGCACGTACAGTGCGTGGAGCAGAGGAGCGGGGACACGCTGGTAGGTTATATGCAAGGAATGACAGTTTTACTGCCCTACCTGCTTGGTTCTGCACACGTTGGAGAAACTGCCCATGGCTCTAATAGCAGCAAGAGTTTTTCCCTACCTTGTTTATAGACCACTTCCCTTAAACTTAATTTTTTTTTTTAAAGTAAGATGTGTGTGTTCTAGAGAACCCATCTGTGCCCTCTGTCATTTTGAACATGGAATGATCATGAGAGGTCAAGTTCTTTTCCGAGAGGAGCTGTTGGGACCCTTCAGTGCTGTGAATGGCATGAGGCTGACCTGCCTGGCTCCACTCTCGCGGCCCAGCTCTAGCAAGGCAGGCACAGCGGGCAGCATCTGTCGAGATCCTGTAGTTTTTCCATGTGGGCAAGACCCAGCTTCTCAGCAAGTCAGGATTCTAATGCTACTGACAGCATATGCTCCCAGGCTGGAGGTTGATACGAGTTCCGTGACAAACAGGGACGTTAACATTAATGAACTTCAAAATGTTTAGCCAAAAGCCTAGAGTCTGTGTCACTGGTAGATGAAAAGATATTCTGCTTTTAACTTCAGCTCCGCTCTCAGCCTCTTAATTAATGCCTCATCTCTAGAGGGCAGGGCAAAGTCCAAGCTTCATAGTATGACCTACAAGGTCTTGCCCTTCTCCAGCCTCATTCCCTTCCATGCTGTGTCCAAGTGTCAGGACACATGGAGTCTTTACTCTGTGCTTTTTATGGGTTTTCTCTCTGCATGGCATGCTCTGCCCGCTGTGTTTTTTCACCTAGTCACATTTCCCTTCAACATGCCAAGTCTTTCTTTGGGGTTCCTGGTCATCCCACCAACCTATGAGGGTATCATTTTCCTGCTCTGAATTAACTTTTGAACTTTGCAGAGTTAATCAATGTACATGTAACCTAGATATCAGCTGGGGTCAGCCAGCCCCTTAAAATCTAGGTAAGATTAAGCATGCTAGCTCTGCCCTTCTTCAGCTCGTAGACAGTCCAGTGTCTCCCTGTGACTACACACGAATCTTCATTCTCTGGTTGTCCTTTGGCCTTGGAATTTTGTACTTAAAATTCAGTCTGAATTAATTCCATTTATGAATCAATTCATTATCCTAAGAGATGTTTTGGTTCCCCTGTGGATGAGTTCTTCTAACCCACCATACATTTGTTCACAGCCTTTGTATGTGAGGTGGACTTGGCTAAACCTTTGGAAGAGAGGGAGGGGGCTTAACTTTGGAACAAGCAATAGTCCAAATCTATTCACAGCAGAAACCAAGTTTCACACTACGATGTCAGCATCAATTCCATGAACCTTTGAAGATACTACTTGGTCTCCACCTGGTTTTCTGATTTGGTCAAGCCAAATATCATGGCTTGGTAGTGGGTGACATGAGCTGGCTAGAGCCTTGTAGTGACTTTTGGTGGCTGAGTGCCAACCTTTCTCTATCAGCTGTATTCAAGGCCTTCAATAGCTCCTTATCTGTGTCTTAGAAGACATGGCACAACTCTGCAGCCATCCAAGGGATGTGCCACTCCCATCAAAGGAGCGTTTAGGTCCATGCCTCATTGAAGATAAACTGACTTTGACCACCTATAGGAAACCCAGAACTGTCTTTGTAAATCCAGACATCTCTAGTTAGATGAAGAGCCCTGCTTGACAAAGTCTGTTTCTCTGAAAATGTTGATCTCATATGATGAGTTCTGTCTGCCTCTCTTCTGATCCTTTAAACTAGACCCTGCTATTTCCTTCCTTATCTAATTCTTTCCTGTACCGTTGCAGGTTTCCTTTATGGAAGTGTCCAATTCCTTTATGAATCTGTGCTCAGCAGAGAGGATAAGAAGGGAAAATAACATGCAATAAGTACTTATAATTTACAACTAACTCACTGGGTAGTTTATAATTATTCCAAAGTTACAGGTAAGAAGCATGAATCTCAGGCCTGGAGTTGTGGCTCAGTGGTAGAGCACTTGCCTAACATGTGTGAGGCACTGGGTTTGATTCTCAGCACCACATATAAATAAATAAAAGGTCCATAGACAACTAAAATTTTTTAAAAAAGAGAGAGAGAGAGAAGAAAAAGTATGAATCTCAGAGTTGTCTTGAGACTGGTCCAAAGTCTCGAGGGTAGAAAATCCTGTATTTTATCCATTATACCACAACTACCTCACAGAGGACCTGACAACCTACCTGATTCAGGCTTGTACCTGTCCCCTCCTATTCTTGCTCTGTAGAGTCCATAAGCTGTCCTAAAAATCTTCTGTGGGTTCAGTCTTGGATCAGCACAATGGGAACTCTCCAGGAACTCTGGAAGAAATGCATCTTTTCCTCTTCATTGCTTGTTTGCCTCCCTATTCTTCGCAAATTCCCCATTTTGAAGCAGAATACTGTGACCCATGTTACCTGTACCACTTAATACCATTGCTGTGCCACCATCTTGAAACAGGTCCATAATTCTTTTCCAGGCCTATCTGTGGGCATAATGACTCCTGTAGACCATAGCTGGGTTAAAAGTCCAATCCAAGAACCCGTATCTGCACTCTTGGATGTGAGTGCTCAGATAACCCTGACTTGAAGGGCCTGCAAGACACTACTTGCATAGGAAGCAGAACCAAGAGGTCCTAAGATCCCATGGCTGGAGCTCCTTCGTCAGCTATGTTAGTCATATCAGGGCCCCAAACACAGGCACTGAAACTGCTGGTTTTTTGCACCCGATTCTGAGCCTGCCTTTGTGGGGTAACTATCCTCTCCAAACAAGATGAGGCAAATTAACAGGGGGGGCAAATCCTGGTGCGGTGGGAAACAATGCCTTCAACACTTCACTGTCACTAGCTGGAGGACAAGTGAACCCCCTCCATCTCTCCCAGCTCCCAGTCAGGGAATCGGGCCAGCTTCTTTTTAAATGGATAAATTTTACAGTCCTCTCACACCAGCTCATGTTCCCTGTTTATTTTGCAACCATCTTTCTTGCTCAGCCAACAAGAAAAAGTTTAAAGCGATTGCCTGCTTATATCTAAAATGCTTCCAGACTGAGGACTTTCTTTGCTGCTTATGGAGTTGCATGGAAAGAGAAGCCTGAAAGCTTTATGAGTTGAAAATTCAGACTGATCACTGGATCTGATACTAGTCAGCTGAGGTTCCAGTTGCTTTTAAGCACAGCTCAGTTGGTTTTAACAGAAAGATATAACTAAATATTTCATCGTTTATTCATCTTTCAACTTTAATTATTGGAAACAGCCTACTTTGTAAGTCTCTGGACCAAAATTCTGATTCAGGGAGTCTTACCCTTAACTCTTTGGGGAATGGGCCATAATATCTTTAGACATATTACAAAGAAGTCTGGTGATTTTATTTTTAAAACCATCCGAAACGAGGTGTTTTATTTCAAGGGAAAGTGTGTGTTTGTCTTTAGGCAGACCAAATCCTGCTGGTTTTACAGAAAGAATTGTGATTTTTATCATCAACTGTGTGGAGAAACTGGGCTTCAGCCTCAAAGTAATGCCACAGTGCTGGGCATGATGGTGCATTCCTATAATCCCAGCAACTGGGGAGGCTGAGGCAGGAAGATCGTAAGTTTAAGGCCAGCCTCAGCAACTTAGTGAGGCCCTACACAACTTAGAAGAGACCCCGTCTCAAAATTAAAAAAAAAAAAAAAATGAAAAGAGCAAGGGATGATTAGTTGCTCAGTGATTAGTGCCACAGTATCCCTCCTCCTCCCCCTGCAAGAAAAAAGTAATGCCACAGAGACAGGTTGTCAGGTGTTAACAGAAAATGGACAGATGTTTGAAACTAGGCCTTCAGTTTTCATTGCAGATGTATTTGGTTCTGAGTGATAACAACTTTCTCCTCAACATTATAAGTTGTGTCCTTCATATCTACTTACCTGGATGTGGCCAATACTGTTTTCAGTATTTTCCAGAAGAGATGTACACACAGGGTAAAGAGTTTAGGGTTAGGCTTTTATGTTCTACACTTGATGAAATTTGAGGTGACATGACTTGACCTTATTGCAAAGTAAAAACTACCCTTTCCCAGAAGGAAAGGAAGATGAACTTTGTATTTCTAATTAGCAAATATATTCATATATATTTTTTCCTTTAAGAATTTCTCTCTTTGCTCAAAGGATTGCTGTTCACATTTTGCTTTTGGACTTTGCTGGGGTCATTACTAGCCTAGATGTTTGTAGTGGTTCCACCAAGTCTTTTGACTGCCAAACCTCCACAGACGCAGTGTTTAAGCTGGGTTTGATTTTTTTCCCCCTCTAACCCCCTGCATGGTTGCAGTTCCTTCTCCTGGGACATTGCCATTTTCCTGAGACTGAGTGCACAACCCTGTTTCTTTTGCATTTTAGACTTCCAGGTCCTACCGCGAGGGTATCTGCTGCAGGCAGCGAGGCCAAAACACGCGGAGGGTCAGCCACTGCTAACAACCGGCGCAGCCAGAGCTTTAACAACTATGACAAGTCTAAACCCATCACTTCCCCACCCCCACCCCTGCCATCGTCAAGTAGCCACGAGAAAGGTGAGTCATCTTCTAATCTTTCTGAGGATCCTTTACCCCATTTTCCTGTATAACAGAGTTCTCCTGTTCCTTTGGGTGAGTTTGGTTGGAGTCAGGGTCAGCATTGCAAATCAGGATGATAAGGAAGGGGGTCCTAAGGATATACTTGACTGGCAGGAATTTTCTTCTTCTGGGCATTAATAAAGTGGGGGAAATATTGTTATATTCAGAGTTGCCAGCAAGAATACCTGGCTACACATAGCAATATAGTATCTGGGATTTGAAAGTAAATTTTCATAGAATCTGCACTGTGCATTAGGTGACTTTCCAAAAATGCAAGCTTCCTGGGGCATGCCCTTTGTGAGCTGGTGAGCTTTTTACCCATCAGAAATATGTGCAGGGAGTTAGGAATAAGGGAGTTTTCACTCTTTGAAAAAGCCAGCCCAGGAATGTGGGTTGGCTAAGTGAAGATCTTGGCTGCACATAAGGAGCTGGGGGGTGTTTCTCCTGGGATTGAAGTGATGCAACTTTAGCCATAAAAGGACAGGATACTTTTACTCTCCATAGTACTGAACTTTCAGGATGGGGGGGAAAAAGTGCATAGCCCTGGGGAAGTCCTGCAAATAAGGCTGTAAAACAAACCTTTGTTTGTGTAAGCCTGTTATCTCTAGAGACCTTGGAGAAACTGAGGCAGTTTAGAAGATTCTTCAGTGAAAGGCAGACCTCTCCTTCAGTCCTCCCAGGTAGTGGTCTAGAGTTCTTTGGGGACTTTCCCAATTATCTTGGGAGCATTTCCTCCCTGGTATCGTGGAAGCTTCCCAGGGCTTACCTGAATGATGTTCCTGCATTTCCCTGAGACCTAGGAGAGCTCTCCTCAGTTCTTAAAGTGCTCCTGGAAGCTGGGAAGACCTCCTCTCCACCCACTTCTCTAACCAATGGTTACTTGGTTCAGTGGCACTGGATTCCCCTGAGAATTAGCTAATTACTGTTATCTTTTCCCCAAAATATGAAGGAAATATTTAAGGGACTGACAGATATATATGGCAGATTTCCTAACCAAGGCACTGGGAACTCACTAGCACTGAAGTCACAACCAGAATGTCTGAACCAGTCAAGATGCTTTGTGATCCAGCTTCTACTTTTCTTTTCCCTCTTTCTCCCCCTTTCTTCCAGCCTCTCCTTTCCTTTCCTTTAAAATATCCAAGTGTATTTTTTTACATGTTCTTAGATTACAAAAATAACATAGGCTGGTAAAATGGTACAAGGGTATGTATATATTAAAGTTCTCCTTTATATGCATCTTAATGAGTACCAGTGTAAACCATTTATACCTCCAGAACTTTCACAATGCATTTATATACATATTATACACAGAGTGAGCCAGCAAGCAAGGGGTGGGGGGAGGGGGGATGATTTGGTTTTCTGCATCAGTAAGTAAAAGCTAACTTTTTTGAGTACCTTGTATGTGCCTCATTGATCCCCAGTTTTCAAAGAATAAAACTAAAACAAGAAAGCTTTAGTACTTGATGAGGGCACACAAAAGACAGGGAGAAGTGGAGTTGCATTTGAACTCGGGTACATTGGTCCCAGAACAAGAAGAAAGCTGGGCTTTGGAAAACAAGCACTCGGAGGCTTGTCTGTTGAGGGCCAGCCAGAGATATGCAGGTGGACATGTGAGGACAGAGTTGGGAAGGTGTTTGGCATAAGCTGCTGTCCCCATCCATAGTCCAAAATGTCTGACGGAGAGGAAGTAGCTGTCTTTGTAACCAGTTGTGACATTACCCATTTCCTCTTTCTCTGTCCCCTCATTTACATTCTCTGAACAGCTTAACACTGTCAGGAATCTAGAACATTTCTCAGGTATTTGGTCCATCATAGGAATCTGAAACATTTAGTTTTCCTAGACTGACTCCTAGACATGTGGAAGATAGTCTTTTCTGAATAATATGGTTCTCTTCATCTCATAGAAAGCATATCTTTATTTTTTTCTCATTATGCTCATATAAAAATATTCACATCATACAGAAATTTATAAAAAGGAAAAAACCCTACACATTCCCACCTCCTAGAAATAGCCACTATTTATCACTTAAATTCCTTTTTATGCATATACTGTCACAATTTGATAGGTAAAATTTTCTGTTTACTGTTTGCCAGGTACTATCCTAAGGCACTGTCCAGGTACTATTGCTTTGTGAACAATTCCTTGCTTAATTCTTCAGGAGCTCTATGCATGTACATGCACACTAACATATTGATATAACTTTTTAAATCTTATAAATAAAATCACCAAATCATGGGCAGCTTTTTTTTTTTGTCTGTGCATAAGTCACTCTCTTCATAATGGTTGCATAATACTCCATTGTATGGATTGACCTTAATGTATTTAACTACTTTTAGCTGGGTTGCTTTTAATTCTTGATATTATAAAAATTGCTTAGATGAATGTTCTTGTATTTTTTATATGTACACAATCCTTTCAGGGAAAATAGTGAGTGCATCAAGTTATACCCACATTCACAGTTGTTTTAATACTTCTAAATTTTGCTCCCCAAAAGGTTATATTCATATTTATATTCCCATCAACAAGGTGTGAGAGGATATTTTTCTGACACACTTGACACACATTAGTTTTTGAAATGATCTAAATTATTTTAATAAGCTGATAGGACTGTTCGTTAAAAATTCACCTTCTTGAATGCCACTCTGCTGTAAGTAACCATCAGTGGCCTTGGCACAGTAAAAAAGCACTTGGGTTTGAGACCAAGCCATCTACATTCTAGGTGCATAACTACTGCAGCCTCAGTTTCCCTCTGCCAATCTGCAGTCCTCCATCACTAAGCTCTGCAGTGTGGATGATTTCTTGTTTGCACTGGCTGTTGGGCATCCTCAGTGTAAGGGCCATCTGTGCCTTCTGCTGGGTTCCCTCCCTTGGTACTCATTCTCTGTGTCGCTCTCTTGCTGTTAGCCCTGCCTATCATGGGCAGAAGAGAAGAGCCAGATGTAGATGTGGCTGGGGATTGAGTCATTGCTGTGTCTAAGTAACTTTGGGACCATTTTAATCTCTATAAATGTATCACTTTGAAGCAAATTATTTATCTGCATTAATGATCTGGAGATGGAACCAAAGAGGAGTTACCCATGTCCTGCCATTACCTGGGATCCGGATGTGAAAGCATACTTTGATTAGATGGAATTAATTCAGTAGCCTAAGTCGTGCACAAGGGAATATGGTTGGAGTGCCCCGTTTTACCTGTTTCTTTCATTTTGCCACCATTTGAGGAGCACCTGACATATGTCCAGCACCTGACATATGTCCAGCACCTGACATATGTCCAGCTGGGTGTAATGACCAAGAGGACTAAAGATATAGATGCAGTTTCTCAGGGGACTTGCAGCCTCAGGAGGAGCGGTGAGGTCAGAGAGATGCTGAGTTGTGAAGACAGAGAGGATATAACCAAGAAGACTCCAGGAGGACTTCTGAAAAGTGACATCATTTGTGTTGATTTCCATTCCCAGATTTTTGCTTAGAGAAAAGAAAAGGCAGGCTGGGAAGGGATGACTCGCCCTAGCCTGCTGGTCCACTGGGTTCCCTGCAGTATTGCACTTGTGTTCTTCGGTGGCCTGTGCAGGGTGAACTTCTTCAAGATTGCCTTCATGATGGGGAGGGGTGTCCCATGGTCATTCCTGAGGCTGAGACCCCAGGCCATAGAGAGCTCAGGTGCCTGATTCTCTCAGTACATGATAATTATCCCTGTTTGGGAGTCAGCTGTGTATTTGTATGATCCTGTGGCCAAAATTCATCTTTGGCAGAGGGCTTAGAAAATCAGTTTAGGGGTGTGAACCAAAGTGGCATCATTGAATTTAAAGAATTCTCTAGGAGATTGCCTGGCAACAGAATTCAATGAACAGTTAGCTGCACAGGCAGATGGACTAGAAGCTACCAAACTTAGGAACGTCCTAGGGTGCTAGAGGAGGGCTAATTCCAGCCAGGAAGGAAGTTGCTCCAGTCTCTAGGGCCAGAGGACAGTTATCTCAGGACAAAAGGTTTGAGCCTACAAAGTGAGTACTTTGAATGCAGACTTCTGAGTTTGATTTCTGGCCCTGCCCCTTCCCAGAAGTGTGGCTTCAGGCAAATGCAGCAATCCATGGGGCATCTGCTCAGGATCACCTCAGGAGGCCATCACAGGCCACACCTGGCAATGCTCTACTCAGAAGGATGCAGACAGGAATCAGATTGCTGGCTGGGCAGGGCAAGGACTTTTCTTCCATAGGAGTGGTCTGGTTTTTTCCTCAGTGCAGGGCATCAAACCATGCTAGGCAAGGGCACTACCACTGAGCTATGTCCCCAGCCCCCGGGAAAAGGTCTTTGCACCAGTGTATGCAGCAGTCCTCAGATACACAGCCTTCCAGGTGCGGTCCCTCCCCGACCACAGGGAATAGCTTAGGTGTGAATAGCTTAGACTTAAATGGGGCAGGTGCACAGATCCCTCTAGCTTAAAAGCCACACACTTCAAGCCCATGTCCACTGAAACAGCTCCATATGCATGAGTTGTAGGATTCCCACAGGATCAGGCCCAATCAGTAGTCTCAGCACTCAGAAAAGCCCAAAATGGTGGTGTTCCCAAGAGGTGTTTGTGCTTCCTCTATGGTTCCTCCCGGTCCAGATGTGGTTTAACAATTAAGGGTCATTTTTACCATGAGCAATGTTGCTTAGTAACAGAATGACTTTCTATCTTTATCAGGTTTCCAGGGGAACAGAGTTAGAAGGTTACCCCAAGGTCACATTCGCATGCAGAAGCTGAATGGTTTTGTTAATCCTTTTCCATCAGCAAGCCACCTCACCCCTTAGAGATGCCGCTTATTTATCTGTGAAGAGGAAACAGGCTTCCCTGAACCTAATGAAGTTCCATGTGAAGCATTCTAATGTTATTCTAGCCCAGTCCAAATGGTCTGTCCTTGTCCCCTCTCTAATGGTTATAGATATTGCTGTAAGGGTGTGACTTATTGTCATTTTCCAG